TGGCTGGCATACCAAATACGCAAATGGGTTCCAGGTAAAAGGAACAATGACAAGCGCTGGAGAGTGTGTAATGGAATTACGTATCACTAACTGAACACTTGCGTACTTTCTTTTAGGTACACTGACATGGTGTAATAACCGCGTGAAAGTCTGATAGTTTTTTTCGTTGTGGGCATAACAGTATTTTGTTAAACTTTTACACAGCTATTAGATTTCTTTGATAACATTTTGATATAAAATATATATTTTCATTGTTGGAAGAGTGCGTTTCGGGATTTGATTTTAAATTAGCCGAGCGCGTAACCACAAAGCTCGATTGAACGAATTTGACCTTGAACTGTGGGATACAAACTCTTGAATATGAAAGCGATCTTCTAGTTTCCTATTTTTCTTAATCAGTAATGTTAAATTGTTCATCAGATACCTAACAGACAAGTTTTCTTGTCGTGAGTGAATTTCTAGCATTTTTGTGTCACGATGAAGATTACGAGAGAATTATATCCATTCCTGATTAGTCAGCATTCATTGGGTTGTGAAATCTCATCGGTTAATACTATAACAGTTGATAATTGAATTTGATGGGCAGTTGAACCGTCCACTTACAAGATCTCTTTGATCTTTTGGTCTTGTAACAACCAATCAACTTAATACGTAAATTCTGCTAGTAACCAATCAGATTCGAGCATTTCGTTATTGACACGATTATTAAGATTCGCTTTAGGAGTGTTATGGTTTGAGTAAACATTTATAAGATGTAAATGTTTGCGTGATAGTCTGTTATATGACTCATTTATAAGCCTTGGGATAGGACAGGAGCCCAATGGGCTCCTGTGTAGGATTATTAATTAATAAGCTTTTTGTAGGATGCTCACTCTCAGCGCGTGTGCTGAGTGGTACTTTTTATATTGTTTATAACCAGCAAGCCAATCTAAACAGCAAGCCAATATAAACAGTAAGCCAATATAAACATTTTATATCCTCTTGTGACCATGTTATATGATAATATAAAAGTCTACTTTTTTTAACTTATATTTTTCGTTGCAAAATATCCCCATTCCTCTCCCGGCTCCCTAGCGTAGGCAGAAATGTTATTTTAGGTTCCACAGATGCTTTCCACTCTGTTCGACCGCTCTTCAATCGGTAGCCAGGTATAATATCTGGAACAATGAGAAACCGACCAAACTAGTACATATCTCTAACAGTTGCCTTATTTACAGCCTGCAAGAGGACAATTAATTTTAATGCATTGCAGTAAAACATGTTTTTTAGCCCATGTGGGCTTTTCAGTAGGCCAAATCTTTTTACAGGGTCTAACAAATTGCTTCATTGCTTCAGAATGTAGTTACAAACTGACGATGTTCTGACAAACAACTAACATAGAAAGTCAATAAAGGTGGTAAGTTTCCAAAGAAACTAGAGAATCTGTGGTTTTGCGTTGGGGGCGAGGGTGGGGTGGGGAGTATGACAAGACAATTTGGTTTTATCAACTGAGATGATATTGTAATTTGACCGCCGTGAAGAGTTGCTCATTACTCCTGCTTGAACCAATGAATCTTTAGAAATACTCAAAATATTCACGAGATACCACTCTTTTTATCACCAGCGCAGGACAAGGATATCATATGAGTGTCCCTATAGGAATCCAACCCCAGACTTTCGAAGTTTGCTCTTCCTATAAGGGTTGCTTTACCCCTACTGAGCCACAGAGACCCCAACACAGATCAACCACAATATTTACCATCCTTGCAATGCAGTATATCACAAAGATAATAAATATTGAGGTTGATCTTGAAATAATGAAGTTGTTTTTTTCTTGTCACGAGAGTGGGACATGGCTTAACTTACCATCGAGGGGTAGCTAAAATGTTGAGCATCAGATGACATGTAATATTAAATAACTTTTATTTCACCCCAAAGCTTGAATGTGAAAGATTTTATGATATTACATGAAGAGAAAAAACAATAAAGATAAGAATAGCTACCTGAAGTAACCTGAGGGTTAAAAATTCCAGGCAGCCAAATCAAAGAAAATATATCTTTTACATGGTTGGGGCAAAAACTTAAAACAAGAAAGAAGCAAAGCTAAGCTAACTGCATGCACCATTAGACAAGCATAATCACATGGCAGTGTATTTAGTGTCCGATTGCAGAAAAATTACTTAATACAGTCCACCGAATCTGTAAAGGTCCATAATTGTTGCTGGTAGTCTAAGAGACTTGCAAAACTTGTACGAGTCTCAAGATGCTTAGACATTTGTGTCTTGTGGGTAAGGGAAGCACCCTGGCCCAACTCAACTAAATCCCCAATTTAATTTATAACATAGCTAGTAAATTTGTCTAATCAAATTCAATTGCGCGAGCGTGCTTCATATTCCTATTGTGCACGCTCATGACGTCAGCAAACAAATTCCTCGCGAAAAAATTTTCCTTCGAGTTGAAAATGTTATAAAACAATTGGTTCATATGTCAGCTGTGCGTTCATCGAGATATGAAGCACTTGGGAAGTTTGGAGAGCGCTCAAGAAGCTAGAGTTACTCTCGGCTACGCCTCGAGCAACTCTTACGCATCTTTCGTGCTCTCCAAACTTCCCGCGTGCTTCATATCTCGATGAACGCACGCTGACATATGAACCAATTGTTAATTATTTCGTTACGATTTATTGGCTGAAAATAAGACATTTCTAAACATTCCCTACGCACTACGCTCTAGCAAGGAGAAAGCACGAAGGACGAAGGAAGGAGGGGAGCTTCCCAGCATTCAGTTATCTTGTCAGGTGATTGATAATTAAAGATTTCGGTTCTTCTATCTCAAATGTCTTGTGCTGAAGATGGGTTTGGTTGGTCTGCATGGAATTAGATCCAAATCTTTTTCGCGCACTTTCATCCTGTGTATTTGCAACTTGTTTGCAAAGCTTTCCGGAGGTCATTTGATTGAGTGCTTTTTGAAAATCTGCTTTAAAAAAAGTAAATAAAAGTGGATTGAATAGAGCAGAGCTGACCTTTAGAAATAAAAACAAAGCGTTCATCCAATGGGGGATACTCATCTCTACTGAATTATCCAAGTCTATCAGAAGCGTCAGAAAAAAATAAGGAAACCAAGCGAAAACAAAACACAACAACATAGCAAGGTACACTATCAATGATCTTTTGGTGTTCACTCTTTTCTTTCGTTGCGTCGAGTTTGTTGTATTTTCTCTTACAATAATGGTCAGCCTCATTCTTGATTTTTTACTCTGTTTCATGATGAAATAAATGCGAATGAAAGCCAAAACTGTGACGAAGAATGGCACAAACACAAACAGTGAAAGAACTGTTGTGTTGTAGACGAGGTAAGCTTTAGTAACGTCTTGCGAAGAGATGATAAACAACTGAGAAAGAGACACAGACATGGCTAATATCCAGATGGAAATTAACACACAAGAAATTCGAGGCTTGGTGACAATAGACGTGTACCTAAAAGGCGAAGATATCTTCAAATATCGTTCGATGACTGCGGACGAAAGATGCAGTATCGTCGAGATGGCTAAACCCCGCTGACAGATATCCATAGCGATACAAAGCGACTGATTGACCGTTACAATGTTACACGATAGAACGAGTGGAACAACCACTGCACCTGAGAGCAAATCACTTGCTGCTAAGCTGAAAAGAAAGAAGTTTGTTCTGGTGCGGAGATACTTCATATTCCAAGCCAACACAAAGACAAGACCATTGGCAATGATGATTAGAAAGGCAACGAAACCCAGGAAGAAGAATATCACTTTCATATTTGTGTCGAGGGTAAAATCTTGGAATCCATCCTTGGATGAAAAGTTGTGAAATGAAGAATTCCTCGTTGTCACAGGCATGTTCAGATTTTGAAGAAATTTAGTTGATTCTCTGAGTTTCTTTCACTTGATCCCTGCGAATATAGACAAAGAAAGATTAAAGAATTCTTAATAGATGCTCTTGCTATGAAAAATGTTCACTCGATAAAGATTTTTTGTATTTTTTTGTTCTGATGTTTTTTTTTTGTTTCAAATCAAGCCTAATTTTGCTAATTTGATCGCACTTTCTCGTTTGTCCTTTGGTACAATATTTTTTATGCCCAGTAGAGTCGGAATTGAGAGAGCTGGCGGATCAAGTGGAAGACAATGATGTGATTTGTATCGATTTTTTATTTTTTCCAACTGTTGAAAGAATGAACCCAGCTTCGGTTTCGATGCAGAGTAGCAATGAACTCGATTTGAATACACGAAATGAAATCAATTCATATCATTGTTTACACACAAACGTAACTTCATTTTGAGTTTGATCTATATAAAGTACATCACGATTTTACCATGATTTGAGAGAAATGTAATGTCCGTTCACCAAATGCTTAGAAATCATAATCATGAGTCAAATTGATGGAAGAGTTATCGTATTTGTACGGAAAGTAACTATCATGTCAAGCGTTATTGCTCGCAGCGACGATCGCACAGCACGACACGTTATGTTGATTTTTAGGTTATACCGATGTGTAATGATTAGTGAAACTTTTGGCAAAAAGTATGCTCACGGCGTTCAAAATCAGATGTCACAACCTCTGCGCGCATTCTCTGATTTACAGTTATATTTGCTCCACAGCCCTTGCCCGAAAACAACAACAAATGCCAATTCTATTTGCCTCAATGTAAGCACCAATGTCTCAGCACAACTCAAAGTTGTCTTACTTACAGAATCTTTGTACAACATATTTACTCACAGAATGAGAGCCAATTTCTTACCTATATGAAAAACTTTTAAAACAATGCTTCATTTTTGCTCGCTCTCTGTCAAATTACGACCATCAGTATGCGCTGTTGTGTTTCGTTTGATGCTGTAATTCATTGAATGGAAATCTGTTTGTTTTTACCACCAACAAAAGATTAAAATCATGAAAGGAAGTAATCTCCTTGGGAATACGTTTTTGGGAGTTTGATTGATGCACAATGAAACCAACAAAAATTTGTATTAGAAGCCTCCGTTTAAACACAATTTCTCAGTCCGCCGACAATTTGCCAAAGACATAAAATATCGCAGTCATGAAGTGAAGAGTTTGCGTGAAAATATCCCAACTATATACAGAACGAGAATTTAACCTTATTAACACCTAGCTATTGAAACACCGATCAACTTCCAACAACCGAAATATGATTTTGCTCCTCCTCAAGGCGGCAATATAGTAAATTTAAAATTATTTTAAAAGGATTACCAACACTAGAAGAAGATTGCTCTTGGGAATACTTACCGAAGATAGTTGAATGTAATTTATCTCGACAAAAATTGTATCTTGAATCAGTGTGTCAAAAGTTAAGCCGTTTCTCTTTTATCAAAATTCTATCAAGTCAATTCTTAAAATCCTTACATAGCACCCAAGTTCTCAATCATTTTCAAGGTGCGACGAATCTTTCTTAGATAACATAGTATAACTGCAAAATAGCTGACGGAATAACAGTAAACTCGTCCTCCGAATTTCCCTCTTGGCAAGCAATGCAAAAAAACTGCTTAAAACAACGATTACAAACGAAATGAAGACAGTCTCAGTAAAAATGTCAAAAACATAGGAACGTCTGTAATTTTTGTTTTAAATTTAGAATTTAAGTTTCTTACCTGAAGAAGCGCTTTGCTAGAAGAAAGTGTTTTTAATACCATCTGATAAAGAATGTCTCTATTTACATTTAATTTGTTTTGTTTTGTTTTTTTTGCTGACATAAAGTTCCTGTGGTTAAAATTGTGGTTGTTGTTTTGATTTTTTAGCCTTCGTTTTTCAGATGTGTCTATTGAAGGAAGAGTTATATATTTCATAAGGAGAATGAAGTTAAAAAAAAAAATTAAAATGTTCATACGATGAAATTAGTTAGAGGCTAACTTAAATCAAGTTATGAAATTTTGCAGCCCGAAAATATTTACGGAGTACAATTAACTTCATTTGAGACACCTGCCGACATTTTGAATGAATCAGTTGTAAAAGACATAATGTGATGTATTTGATAAAACACTCGCGCACGGTGTTCTTCTTTCTCGTAAAAGGCAACATGTCGAGTGTGTTCTATCTGTTTCATTTGAAAAATAAAGGACATTTATCCTTATCGTTACGTAGCATTTTTATGGTATAATTTTCATACGGCAAAGATTGCTTGTTTTTGTAATGCAATCTCGTTTCTGTTGCCGTGGTAATGTTACGAAAGACAGACAGACTCGCGATATCGTGATGACTTTACACCCTGATAACCAATTAAAATGAAGGGAAATAAAATGAGAAAGTCCCATTACGAAGCCAGGTAATGACAAGTAGCTCTACCTGCATATTAACTTTGAAGATCCCGAACACTAATTATGCCACTATGATTAAACACGATCTGACATTGTGTTCAGACAACAATGTAACAAAATATTGCAAAACGTCACAACAAAAAATAATTTTTCAAGGGAATAAACTTCGTCAAAGATTATAATCGGCCCGCTTCCTTTTTCTGGACTAATTTTGACTTCGTGGTTTAACAAGAGCATTATTTTCTTTTTAGGTAGATTTAATTCAGAGGCGAGCGAAATTAGAGCGCGACTTTACTTATGAAAAACGTAAACTTGAATAATTCGTAAAGCACAGTATTTGATAGAAGACACCCGCTTCTATTCCATCTTTTGTTTTCAGTTTAAGTCAGCACTTTCCGTCGACCAGAACTGTCCATGGATCAACTTTGTCGAGAAACAAAGAGAAAGAAACAGCTTACTCGAAAAAAGCGATGTTATTATCAGACAGTATCTTGTGTTTGAGATCCAAGACTGAAAAACGACTTAAGAGACAAGCTTGAAAGTGTTAACCTATTGTTGGCAAGATGACTCCATGTTTTGCCAGAAATATTTTTTTTGTGCGACTTATGTCAAGTTTGAGGACTTAGACCCGAGAAAGAATTCATAGAACTCACATTAAATTTCTTGAAGAAATCAGCGTTAAATAAAAAATAAACTCAAAAAAATAAATATAATAAACTATCGTGTTTCTTAAAATGTTTTTCAGTAGTCACTCGACGAATATTATTTTAGCTCTACATATGAAAATTATCGAATAACGAACTTCATAAGAAAAAAATGCTGATTATGTATTTCAATACTCACGTTCAACTCGAGTCTGTTGTTTGAAAGGAGACTTTTAAACCAGGAAAACTAAATAAACTCGCCAGCCTAACTAATACCTTCTGTCATTGTGGGAAGCAAGTCTGGTATATCTGACGTGATGAATGTATTGAGATAAATTAACACGTAATTCAGTGTTAGATTGGAGGATTTTAGCGATTATCGCCGCCTGAAATTATAATTGGTGGTATGGAGCGGCGTGTAACTAAGAACTGACATGTAATTATTTTTTTATGAATTTTGAGCCTAGAGACCTACGTGTGAAAAGCAGCTCTCCATTTCAAAGGTTTCCGAAATCAGCTGCCGCGACGGAGTGAGATCTGCGTCCGTGAGTTTCGTTTATAACAACTTAACCGCAAGATTTCGGCCAACTTATTTTTTTATTAAGTTTAAGATAATTTGCTTCAGGTTCATTTGGGTGTATGTACTGATGCAATAAACAAAGACATGGGCTTACAGTTTGAAATCAGATCGCCAAACATAGCGAGCTTCAGATTTTTGCTGTGATACCGACACTGGTTTAAGCTCAGAATTGTTCAAGACGATGTGGTATTCAGATTATGAAAATTGAATTTCTTATAGCTTAGATTTAATCTTACGCAGGAATATTCTATATTTATTCTTGCGTATTTTGTCTCCTTTAAATACTGGTACAAAACTCTTAGATTTAACTATCTTTCAAGCTTCAAGAATTAACAAATTTGAAAGTCGGTGATAAACTGATTAAAGAAATTAGATAATTGTGATGTTACTTTGTAATCAATGGCTTAAAATGATGGATCTAGAATTAAATAGTTTTGAGATGGATGCCAAAGCAGCAGATTAACAAGAGTTACCACTGAACTGTACATAATTGAGCGGAATGGACAAATTTGGTTAGAACCACGCAAAAATCTTACATCGAGCCACAAGATAGAAAAATAATAATTATGTGTTAAATGGTGCAACTATTACAAAGATTGACTACAAATCGAATTATTTATGGCATTATGTTACAAAGACCGTGAATTGAATGAATAATCTAACTGAGTAGGTTGTACTAGCCGGATAGTGGTAATTAGTCAAAATCACTCCCCAAAACTCGCGTGGGGGTGGGAGAGGGGGGATTTGGGGTACTTCCTAGTAATAGGCTTACCATAGGGGCTGTGACGCTAGATGGTGTTGCATTTTCATGACTGTATTCACTATAATGGGCGTGCTTTTTTTGTAAAATTACTAGAGAGGGTTCGCTCTTTGGGTAGGGATTTAAAAACGACAAGATTTGTGGTAAAAAATGTCACCGTATTTCGAGCTGTGGTTTTGATGTCTAACAATCCGCTTGCATTATATTCTGTTCTTGACAAAGTTGCGATCGCGAAAATTGAATTTACCCAAAGTTGATCAAGACGAGGTCCATAGTTTGCCTAAGAATAGACTATAAAACACAAATTGACCTAAGCAGCCCCTCCCCCCCCTTGCCTACCGGACTCGCCTCCTATTTTACCGAAACCATTCACCAATTCCCTTTCTTTGTCAGTCATTCCCACTTTATCTTATTAGCTATGTATAATTCTTTGGCTCTGCATCCGTATCTTGTTGGTTATCCTAATAAGTGAGATGGTGTAAAATTGTAGAGCAATTGAATAGAAAGAACAAGTACGTTTTTTGGCACAAGCGTTGAGAGCACTCGTCCCCCACCGCTGTAGCTTGGGTTCGATTTTCTTTTTAGTTTTTTCTTTTTAGCTCCCCACTTAACAAAGATCAAATGGCTTTAATTGTTTTTAGATATCCGCAGAAGGAAATTTGGCGTCGCGATTTCGAAAATTGCTCCGCAAAGAAAATGAAAACATCGAGAAAGCTAGTATCTCTGTCCAAAGTTTAAGAAGCAATTTTTATGCTTGTTTTCAATTTAATTTGTCCAAATTTGCATTTGCACACCATCATCCACTATTTATGTGATCCTAACGTTTTTGGTTTTTTGCATTAAAGGAAGCCAAACACACGCCTTAAATGAATAATTTAGAGAGAAAATCAGTTTTTCAACCCAAAAAAGTCAGCACGCATGATTTTTAGGCGCTTCCAAAATAATTTTTTATTTGCGAAGAATACAAACGCGTCCAAAATAAAGACGGGAGACACTGTTCTCTTTATATGTTGTAATTTTAGGTATTCTCCATGCTTTGTACAACTTGACAACACCTTTCGGATTGGAAGCAGGCCTTTCTTTATTCGTTTTTCGATCGTTGAGGAAAAAAGCTGAATACAGGAATGGCTTTAGTAACCTATCTAAGGAAATATTTCGTCAAATCTTATTTTTAATTATTTAGATATTGATAGTTATCAAGAGATGCAGCTGTTATGAAATTCATGGGACAGATGCGTGTTTTAAATTATCGCCTGACGTGTGCACTTAATTAAAGGTAAATATTGACACGCTCTTTGGAACTTCCCTTGAATGTTTGATTTTTTTCGCTTTCATTTGAAAGTTTAGAAGTAATATGGTACGGTATCTGATAAATAATTTATGGTGTTCTAGTATTGATTGGTTTTTTCAGAACAAATTTGAATTTGAATCTGAAATGGAATTATGTATATAGGTGAGTGTTTCATAAATAATCAAATTTTATTATGTTTCTGATTAGGAATTTGCTGGTAAATTCTATCTCTCTTTCATTTCGGAAAATAGTGATGCTTGCACCTCTTAACACAGCTTAAGG